AGCTGTTAAACTGAAAATAAATCAAAGAGAGGAACAAATCAGCGCTTGGGAACGCTCCAGAATGGTCTGGTTGGGAAGAATTCCAGCAGGAAAACTCTGCTGTGCCCAGGTCACCAAATCCATGGCAGGGAGGGAGCTGGGAGTGGGGCAGGTGCCGAGGAAGAGGAGGAAATTCCTGTCGTGTTCCATTCCTGCCTCAAATCCCCGATTCCCCCAGAACTGGGCTGTCAGTGCAGCCTGGCTCCTGAGGTTTGCAAGTGAATTCCTTGAATTTAGGCTGGAATTTCCACAGTCTGGAGGCCCCAGCTCCTGCCATCTTTTCCATGGATGCATCCTGGAATCAGGCTGGATGCTGGCACTCTCCGTGCCATGGATTTCTCTCTTGATTATGCTTCTTTTCTTATTTATTCCAATTTATTTCCCTAGATCAAACATTTTATTTCGGGCTCCACAATTCCTCCTGCAGTGTGACCAGGAAAACCTTGGCTGGTGCCCACTGAGGAATGTTTTGTGAGCTCCTGAGCCCACATGGAATAAAAATCCAGCGTGCAAATCCAGGCTTTAGGCCGGAAATAAAGCTTTTATTCTGCTGTGTGGTTCAGCTGGGCTTTACTGGCCCTCAGCCTCAGCCAGGCCTTCAGTTTGCTTTGTAAATCTGTATTTTCAGCAGGGCCTGACAGATCCATGGAGCACTGCTGGGATCCTCAGCCTCTTCCTGCTTTAATCCGTGTTTTTTACCCTCACTGTACGAGTGGGTGACTCGTCTAAAACACAGATATTTAAATTTAAATTTTTTAGCTTTAAATTTTTTACATTTAAATTTTTTACATTTAAATTTTTTAAATTTAAATTTCTGGTGAAAAGCAGAGAATTCAGGGGCACCCCGTGGCTGAGGCAGGAGGCTCCCAGTTGCCCCTGGGAACAGGATTTGGCTCCGTGTTTTGGCAGCAGGCAGGGGCTGAGCTATCTGCTGGCAGCAGGGTCGCTCTGGAGATGGTTCCAGGCTCCACACGTGCGAGGAAAATTAAAAAGGAAAAGAGATCTGAGGAGAAAAGAGATTTTATTGGCTTAGAAATCATCTCTGAGGTGGGGCAGGGGGTGTGGTGGAGCCACAGGCTCGGATCTGTGGGTTTTTCTGGGATGTGGGATGTGTCCAGGAGTTGGGATTGGCTTGGTTTGGCTGTTTTTGAGAGGGATTTGTTGGCACACCCTGTGTCAGGCCCCAGGGGTGAACCAGGAGAGGCTGAAAACCCCCCCAGGATCCCAGTGAACCCCAGAATTCATCCATAAAATTCGCAAGCCCGAAATACAAAGTGGTCCTTAAAGAAATGAAAAGAATTGGAGACTTCAGGAGATTTCTTTGGTTTGATCCCAGAGGGGTTTGGAAGCTCCAGAAATCAGCTGACATCGCCTTTTCCTTTAAAGTGAGTGCAAATTCTGGTGGCAAAACGTAACTCCAAGGGACAAGCCTTGGGGAAAACCTCCAATTCCATGAAAATCCGGTGTGGAAAAGCTGGAGAGCTGCTGGCCAGGCCTGGTGGCCACGGAGAATGCTCCAGGCTGGCCCAGCTGAGGAGGCTCCGTGTCACTGCCACACGCCCCACAGCCCTGACAATGAACCAGAGCCTTTGTCAGGGAGCTCTGAGGCCTTGCTCAGACTCAGATCCCCAAAAAAAGGCTCTGGAAAAGCACCTGGAGTGTGCCAAAGCTCAGGGAAGCTTCACCAGGGGGAGGCTTTGGTGTCAGCTCATCCCTAAATTTTACAGACTTGCAAATGCCTTGTGCTGGGAAGGGACTGGTGGGAGAGGTTTATTCCAACATTTGCGATAAAAACAAGGTTGTGTGGGATGGAATCACGGAATGACAAAATAATTTGGATTGGAAGGGGCCTTAAAACCCATCCTGATGGGCAGGGACACCTCCTGCTACCCCGGGCTGCTCCAAGCCCCATCCAGGCTGGCTTTGGATGCTGCCAGGGATCCATCCCAGGGCTTTCCCACCCTCCCAGGGAGGAATTCCTTCCCTCTATCCCATCCATCCCTGCTCTCTTTTCAGTTTAAATTCTTTTTTTTTCAAGTTTAAACTCTTAAACAAGTTTAAAACCGTTTCCCCTTGTCCTGTCACCCCATTCTCTTGTAGAGAATCTCTCCCTGATAGTTCTGGCAACTTGAGATTCCAAGATCCTGGAATTTACCTCAATCCCCAGAGTGCTCCATGGCTGTGATTTTGGGAGCTTGGAGGGTTTTCCTTGAACTCTGCTGAGAATTCAGGGGGATCCTCTCCTCCCTTGGGATCCAGGGGTGTTTGGGAGCTGATCCCAGCAGGAACTGGGAATTCCTCCCCCTCTGGAGCACACCCCAGCCCTGAGGGGGATTTCACTGACTCCAGCAATGCTTTGATGCTCAGGAAAGGGGAATTTTGCTGCTTTCTTGTCCTTGAGCCATTGAGGGGCGTTCCAAGCACCCCAAACTCGCTGTGCCCTCTTTCCTCGCCTCACTCAGGGATGATTTCAACACTTCCATGCCCATCCCGGTGTTCCTGGTGCTGCTGGCTCCGTGTGCTCCCATCCCAGGGATCCCCAAGCTGACCTGCTCCAGATTTTGGGGCTCTGAGCTTTTCCTTCCTGCTGGAAAAAGGGAATCAGGCTCTTCCCCCTCCGGCACATGGAGAGAGGGAGTGGGATCTGTGTTCCTCAGGCACTGGGGACAGCATGGATTCCTTTTTTTTGGGATGCTCCAAGCAGAGGATGATGGTGGCCGTGGGTCAGGCAGCCCATGGGGAAGGGGTTGACCACCAAAGGATTTGGTTCCTGTGCTGAGACAATCCCAAAATTCATTTTCTTTTTGATATCCCGGATTTCAAGCAGCCTTTTCCATCCCAAGGGAGCAGGTCCTGGCGCTGAGGAGGGCCCCAGATGTGCCCAGCCATGGTTCCAGCAGCTCCCAGCTGTGTTCTGAGCCAGGTTTGGGGGTTCTTCTGGGGCCTGGAACAGCTCCTGGATGCAGGATTTTCCCTGGAGACTGGCTCAGCTCTGTGGGATCAGCTCTGGGAATGCCCCTGGAGCATCCCAGCAAGGCAGAGCTGAGCTGGGATGGGGATAAAAACATCCTCAAAACCCTGGCTGACAAGGGTGGAATAGATTTATTTACATTCCTATTTTTAGGGTTGTGTCACTTCCTCCCCTCGGGGGTGGCTTTGGTGTCACTTTGCAGGAGCGGGGAGGGGACAGGGATTGTCACAAGGCAGGTGACAAAAGCCAGGCTCAGCCCCAGCCCCTGCTCGTGGCCACCACTTCCTTCCTCTGGGATTTATTTGGGATTTATTTATTATTATTATTATAATTACAATAATAATAATAATATATTATTATTGTTGTTTGTTTGTTTGTTTGTTTGTTTGTTTGTTTATTAAGCCTGAGGGATTTATTTGGGATTTATTTATTTTTATTATTATAATATGTTATATTATTATTATTATTATTCTCATTATTATTATTCTCATAATAATAATAATTATTATATTTATTTATTTATTTATTTATTTATGTGTTAAGCCTGAGGGATTTATTTGGGATTTATTTATTTTTATTATTATAATTATAATATATTATATTATTATTGTTGTTTGTTTGTTTGTTTGTTTGTTTATTAAGCCTGAGGGATTTATTTGGGATTTATTGTGCCAGGATCCATCCTCAGCTGGGAGAGGAAGTGGATTTAGGCACAGCAGGAAAGGACACAATGAGTCAGCGGCGGGAGGGAACTGAAAATCAGGAAATGTCCAGAGAACGACTTGGTTTCATTGGGGAAGTGCAGTTGTAAAGCACCATCGGGGACAAAAATGGGATTAAACTTTTATTATCGCTGGTTTTGCCCTGAAAATTCGGAGTAGGTTCATGCTTGGGTGTTGTTAGAGCTGGGAATTTCCCTGGAATTTGCATTTGGGGTGGGATGGTGTTGGCATGGCTTGGATATCTCATTAAACATCATAGGGCAATTCAAATTAGTTATCTATAATAAATATAATATATTTAAATATAATATATTTATATTATATTATATTATTATAAATATATATTAGATTAATATAATATAGTATAATATAATATATAATATAATATAATATAATATAATATAATATAATATAATATAACATAATATAATATAACATAACATAACATAATATAAT